ACAGGGCAAGCCTTGGGACCCTCGAAGAATGAGCACAGGTGCGTGAGTGTGATGGGGAAAAGGTTCTTGGTGCAACTCACCTGGCCAGGGTTGGTGAGGATGGGGAAACTGGAGCCCTCATACATTACAGCCAGGGTTGTCAAATGTGGCAGCCACTTTGGAAAACAATGTAGCAATTCCTCCAAAAGTTCAGCATGCCGTTGGTGACCATAAGGGTCAGCGAGCCTGCTCTTAGATGTACACCCATGAGAAATGAAAATGTATGTCCACATAACAACTTCTACACAAATGCTCTTATGGGCATTACTCCTACAGCCAACCCCAGTACTCCCCACAGCTGGTTCATTCCGCCCTCAACAAGAGTGAAGTACAGGTGCGTGCTACATTGGATAGACCTCGAAACATTAGGTGGAATGAAAAAAGCCAGTCACAAAAGACCACATCTTGTACGGTTGCATTCAGGGGGCATGTTCAGAATCGGCAACTCTCTAGTGACACAAAGTAGCTTTACTAATTGGGTCTATAAGGCTTCTTTCAGGGCTTATAAAAATCAGGTGGTGAAAAAAGAGGAGCTGATGCCAAGGGCTCGAGTAGAAAGAAAATGCTTTGAAAAGGATGATGGCAACATGTACACCAATGTGCTTGATACAATGGATGTATGGATTATAATAAGAGCTGTAAGAGCCTCTAATAAAATGATTTTTTTTTAAAAAAGGAAGAAAATCAGGTGGTGATAATTTTCAGCCAACCTTGTGAATATAAGAACCATTGAATTGCATACTTCAAACGGGTGAATTGTATGGTAGGTGACTGCCATTGCAATAAACCTTATGTCAAATGATCATCGTTATAAAAAGGGAGGGAAGGGGGCTTCCCAGAATCTCTTAGATTCCAGGGCCACGTCCCAGCCTTCCCAGAACAACCGGTAGAGGTGGTTCCCAGGTAGGTTTACGGTAGAGGTGGTTCCCAGGTAGGTTTACGGAACACAAAGCCTGTCCAGGAACTCTGGTGCACGCTGTTTGGACTGTTAGCCGTGTTCGTCCCTGAGCCGAGCATGCCAGTACCTTCCCATTTCTGAAAACAGGCCCTCCTCTTCCTCGCGGCAGCCCATCCATCCGAGAGAGGCAGCTCCCTCGGCTCCCTCGCACGGGCCTCTTTCCCACCAGCCTAGCCCCTTCTCCCGCAGTGTGATTTCAGATC